TACTTAAGCATGCTTTATTGGTTAGTATGTGATCTATTTTAGAGAAAGTTCCATGTGCTGCTTAGAAGAATGTGTACTTGGTTGTTGGTTTTTTATCTTTGTTAAGTTTATTGTTACATATTAGGTATACAGTACAGTTACTTTCATTATTGTGATCGTATACCTATGCATGACTTATCAGGTTCTTATTTTTCCCCCTTCCCCTACCCTCCCCTCCACCCCTCCACCCTTCCTTTTCACAAAGACATTGTTTCTGTGTTTTTGTTTTTCACATATTTTTCTTTTCCCTTTTTACCTTTCCCCTACCCCTCCCACTTCCTCTACACTTTTAGACTTTTCTTCCTATTACACAATATCAGTTATACATTTTAATCATTATTTGCACTGTTACTTTTTCACACCGGAGAAACTATTCAGTATTTACTCTATAGATAGCCATTAAGTCCATTTGTTTGAAGGTTTAGTTCTCCGAAATTTCTTTGTTGATTCTTTTTTTTTGGGGGGGGGTCTAGTTGACCTATTTGTAACAGAGTTCCCCATTATAATTATGTTGGTTTTATCTGATTTTTCATGTCCATTAGTGTTTGTTTTATAAAATTGGACATGCTGGTATTTGGTGCATATATGTTTATAGTAGTTATCTCTTCCCATTGAATTATTTCCTTAATGAATATGTAGTGACCTTCTTTGCCCCTTCTGATGTCTTGGCTTAAAATCCACTTTATCTGAAATTGAAAATAGATATTCTTATTTTCTTCTTCCATAGAATATTGTTTTCTAGCATTTGATTTATAATTTGTGTATTTCTTTTTGGATTAAATGTGTGTCTTATATATTGCATAATACTGGGCTGTTTCCTGATCCATTCTGCCAGTCTGTGTCTCTTGATTGGGGAAGTGAGACCATTCATATTGACAGCTACAAAGGAAAGATACTGACTTATTCCTGTCATGCATTATTTTCCTATTGCTGATTCCCCCTACCCTTTCTGCTTAACTGCTCACCCTGCCTGCTATATTATTGTATTAGATATTTTGGCATTGTTGGTTTTATTGTATCTTTTTATGATACCCTTCAGAATTTTTTGTAGTTTTGGTTTGGTAGTCATGAGTTTCTCAAAGTGGCCTTTGTCATAGAAATATCTTACTTCTCCATCAGTTTTAAAGTAAAGTTTTGCAGGATTTATCAGTCCAAGTTGGAAGTTATTTTTTTTATCACTTGGAGTATTTCACTCCAACTTCTCCTGGCCTTTAAAGTTTGTGTTGAGAAATCTGCTATGTATTTCTTATGGGGTTACCTTATTATAGGGTAAGGGTTATGGGAGTTGCCAGAGACCTCTGCAGTGGCCCTGGCCTCCTGCAAACCAGTACAATATCCACAAGATAGGAAAGTGGGAAATAAAAGAAACACAGAGACAGAGCCTTGAGAGAAACAGTCTTGCGTGGATCTAAGCTGCTCTGGACAGCAAAGACAAAGACTCCCAGGACTTCCAGTTTATTCATTACAAGGGTGGGAAGGGGAAATGCGGCAGGTCTTGGGACACCTGCTGGTAGCAAGTATCAAGCAGGCAGGACTGTAGAAAGAGAACACGAGCATATCTTTGCTGAAGAGAACAAATGGTTAATTCATAAGGGAGGAATTTAGCTGGAGAAGAGTTGACCTTGGCTGGAAGTTAACTGATTGGACCACTTCCAATGTAACAGCCAAATTATGGAAGGGCAAGAAGCTTGTGCCACTATAGCGTGCTAATACTGGGCAGAGGTGTCTGCTACACCTTATAAGTGATTCACTGCTTTTCTCTAATAGGTTTTAAGATTCTGTCCCTATACAGGACTTCTGGGATTTTGACTAGGATGTGCTGTGGAAAACTGCTCTTTTGGTCATGGCTATTTGGGGTTCTATATGCCCTACTTATCTATATATTTAGTTATTTCCCAATATTTGGAAAGTGTTCTATTATTTCTGTAAATAGATTATTTAAGCTCATTGTGCTACCTTCTGGTCTTTCATTTATTCTAATTAATCTTAAGATTATTTTTCTTTGCACCATCTAGTAGCTAATGGATCTATTTGTCATGTTTTCTTGTTGTTTTTTTAAGGTGTCTCTGAGTAACTGGTCTTTTTTGTTTGTTTTTTCTGATACCAGGGATCGAACTCAGGTCCTTGCACTTACAAAACAGGCATCAGGACCACTGAGCTAAATCCATGGCCCTCTGAGTAACTGGTCTTTGAAAATATCCCCTTCTTCTTATTCTGATGTTCTATCCTCACCTTAAGTCACTTCTGCTGCCCGTGCATTCTACGTAATTTTTAACCTCCTGGATTTTTGTTTGGAACCTCTTCATGGACTTCAGTTGTCTACTAAATGAGTCATTCACATTTTGTACCATTTTGTTTAGTTCAGCTACCTTTTTATTAGTGTCTTCTGAAAGCTCTCTGATCAATTTATTGTCCATTATTTGATTAGTTGTATTTTCTGTGAGCCCACTGAGCACCTTACTGATCTGTTTTTTAAACTCTTCTGTTATCATTTTAAATAATTCAGCTGTGTGGCTTTTTCTTTCCTCTCCCTCAATACCCCATGGATCAGCTTTGAGGGAGTTGAGAGTTTGGGGAGGCATTTTGTTGCCTTGTTTCTATTTTTCCTGTTTGTTTTGTTTTGTGCTTAGTTTTGCACTCACCTATAGTGGAAAGAGTTTGCTACTAGCATGGAGATCTTTTTAATCTGCTCTTCAATTATGCATTCCGACCATAGCTAACTAACAGAGCAAGGGGTTTCTTTCTAGTTTTTTGCCTCTGTTGCAAGGTCCAACCACCTCTGACAATTTGGGAGGAAGGATGCAGTGTAATTGGCCCAACACCCAATTCTCTGGGAATGAACCACAGTATATTAAATGTCACAAAGGTGATCTGGGTATTGGCACACCAGAAAAACCTATTAGTAACAACTATGCAACCCTGGCAATAGCAAATAAATCAACAACTGTAACATTATTAAAGACAGTCTGAATATTTACATGCCATAAGAACTAATAATGTACCACCCTTAACTTGAGAAAAGAAACATAATTCTAGTGTAAACACTAAGGCAAACCAAATGTTGACATACAGCACATATTCACTAAATAAGGTGACAATAACTCCAATAATGGTGGAAAAGAATTCAGCAGTAGTAACATGGAGTTAACTGACTCTAAAGAGTAATAAAGCTTAGTGATTAGGCTATTAAAGATACAGAGGGTTGGGAATTGGAGAATGCCAGAAGAAAATTGAAAAATTAAACCATCAGAGATAAAAGGGAAAAAAGTGAAACAAAGGATCCTATTAAGAAGTAGGAGTATTTATAAATTAGATAAAGGTAACAGGAAAAAATAAATAGGTAAATAATAGAGAAAATAAAGTGGAAAAATTAAAAGGGAAAAGAGAAAAAGGAGTATGAAAAAGCAAGGGAAAAAAAGGCAAAGGAAAGTTCCCCAAGCCCATTAAACCAGTGAGGAAGAAAGGGAGGGGAGAGAGGCCCAATACAGAAAAAAATGATAATTATCTGTATTTCTGAAGGAGTGGTTTCCTTCCAGGATCTTCATTCTTAGATTAAAGCAAGACAGTTTTCTCCACCTCGCCTTCTAGCCTGTGGATCTGTGAGGTGCCCCCACTATTCTAGAGGCCCCTGTGTTTATCCTAGGCATGGCAATGCTCCCACCAAGATATGTACTTACTTACATTGCTAGATAGAGAAGGCACTCAGACCACAGATCTGTGCTGGACACAGGCAGCAGGGCAAGGGTTCAAATATTTAATGCTGGTTCTTTCAAACTCAGTCACTTCTGAGTGCAACACAACCAGTCAGGGTTGTTTTTCACCATAGTGGGAGTTGAGGGGTGGTCAAGGTGGCCTTCCTGGCCTGAGCTTAGATGTCTCTAGGGATTTCATTCTAGCCTATTCGCCATCCAGAGCTCTCTCCTGGCTGTCTCTCATCCAGTCACTGTGAGAGGGGAACTCTGGAAGCTCTGAAGTGATTCTTCAGCTGTTCTGAGTCTCAGCTAACTCTGAGTCCTGAATCAACCAATATTGTTGATATTATTCATAAAAACATTCCTTTTAATGGCTAGATAATATTCTATAAAATACTTTGTTTAGCCATTCAACAGTTGATGGATATCTGATCGTTTCCACTTTGGGGCTACTAGAATAATACTGCCATGAACATTCACACACAAATCTTTGTGTGTATATTTTCATTTCTCTTGGGTAGATACCTAGAAGTAAAATTTCTGAGTCCTTCAGTAAAGTAACTTCTTAATAAACTACTGTTTCCTAAGGGCTCTATATCATTTACATTCCTGTCAGCAATGTGTGAAGGTTCTAATTTTTCCACATCCTCGCCGACACTTATTATCGTTTATTTTTAATATGACCATTCTAGTAGATATAAAGTGGTATCTCCAGACATTTTTATTTATATTTTACTATTTCAGGTTAACAATGCATCTGGATTTTTCATTTGAATGACTGATCCTTGAGGTTGGAAACTATCCTGTACCTTATGCAAAGTAAATTCCTAAAAATTATCTAATAGTAGGCATAAAATATTACTTATTTTGAAGGAAGGAGGAAAGCATTAGTATTGTCATTTCTGTGAAGAGAATTTAAAACATATTATCTCATTTAACTCGTGGATTAGCATAAGGAGAAATACACTTGAGTACACTTTAATAATTTGCCAACTAGTGAATTACTGAGCTGGGATTTGAACACAGGACTCTAAGATTCTGTAACTCTAAGGCCCTAGGCACATAAGTAAACACAGGTAAAATGCCTGTAGGAAACCAGAGTAAAAGTTTTAAGAGTAACACGCTACAAGAGGACATGTCTCCCATGTTGTTGTATCACAATTTATATTTTTCTCATTTCAACTTTTCTCGTCCTGTGGCGAGTCGGGGCCTCGGCACCGTCCCCGTCCAGGGCCTTCGTGTGATGCTCATGTCCTCACTTCCCACCAGTGTTCCGCCAGCTGCGGGGAGGGCACGCAGACGCGAAGCGCCGTCTGCCTGAAGGTGCTGCGGACCGGGGTCTCCACGGTGGTCAGCTCCAGCCTGTGCCCCCCACTGCCCTTCGCGGCCTCCCTCAGGCCCTGCACGCTGGCGGCC